TCTGGGGTCTTCAGCATATTTTCAACCAATAAGTGATCAATTTCTCATTATATTGTGCTAGAGGACCTGGCATACTTGTATGAGATCAGATGTGTGTTAATTATATGGAACAAAGCCTATTCCTGATTGTATCTTGACTCTGAATGAATAATGAAACCAATTCTGTAACATCTGGTTTCAATTCCTTGGTTTCAATATGCAAGAAACTCTTTCTGCATATTGTAAATCAATAACCATATTGAGTTCTTTAAAATACCTTAGTATCATGTAAATAGCAAATAGCTCTGCCTTTTGGACAGAATTATAAGGATTTTGTTCCCTCTAATTTAAATTTTCTGATTTGCAATCTTCCTTTCCTGATTTATCTGCATCAGTATCAAATTTATGGGCTCCAATTATTGGTGCATCACATACAATTAAGGGAAGAACCCAAGTAAGTTTTTTTTATGAGATTAATTCTACCACTTTTGGGATAATTGCTATTAATCTCTCCTTAAAAATTATCACAAGCTTTTTGCCATGGTTCATTGTCTTCCAGTAATTTTTTGATTTCATCAGTGGTAAAAGGCATTATCATCTCTGCTGGATCTATACCTGCTAGTTGGCAAAGTCTCAATTTTCCTTTTATAATTAATTCTGAGACATTTTCCACATAAGTTTTTAATTTTTTACTCTGTTTATGTGGTATAAAGATCGATTCTAAGATAATATCTTCCCTCTGCATTAAAATTCCTTAAGGTAAATTCTGGAAGGCAATATGACTAGAATGCAATTAAGATTTGGATCTATCCTATCAACATGAGCCTCCTATAATTTCTCTTCAACAACTTTTAATTCTTTCTCAACTTCTTCTGTTAATTCTCTGGGACTATTAAGTATTTGTCACCATCTAAGGTTTTGTGAAATGAAATATTAGATTAGGTGTTATGCTGACAATGGCCAGAAACTGGAAATGTTTCCCAAAAATCTTTGAAAGTCACTAAAAGTCTATAGTAAGTCTTTCCTAATTTGTGCCTTTTCTGTTTTCAATTTCCTGTACACCCATTTTATAACCTAAGGAATTGACTAACATTTCTCTCTATATTTTTTCAGGAAGAATTTTGTAATCCCTGTCTAGGCAAAACTTTCTTTACTTCTTCAAAAATTTTTTTCTAAAGTATCTGAATTTGAATCAGATAGCAAAATGTCATCCATGTAATGGTATATTAGATTTAGGAAATTGCTTAATACAAAATATTGGCACAGGGTCAGGCTATTGAGCATTCCTTGTGTAAGAATAGTCCAGTGGTATCTTCTAGTAGATTGAGAATTATTATAAGTAGGCACTATGAAGGCAAATTTTTTCTCTGTTCTTTTCTTGTAAAGGTATAGTGAAGAAACAATCTTTTAAATCAATAACTATGAGAGGCCATTATTTAGGTAATAGGGAAGGCAAAACAATTCCAGATTGTAGAGGACCCATAGGTTGAATTACCTTATTGACAGCTCTTTGATCTTTCACCATTCTCCATTTTTCAGATTTCTTTTTAACAACAAATACAGGAGAATTCCATGGGCTGGTTGATTTTTTAATATGGTAAGCATCTAGTTGTTCCTGTACCAGATGTCTAAAGCCTGCAGTTTCTCTTCTGTTAAAGGCCATTTTTTAACCCATATTGGTTTCTCAGTTAGCATTTTTAAGGTAGGACCATTAGTACCTCTGAAGTTTTGCTAGTTGTTTTGTGTTCTTGTACAGCCTCAATGGCTGATGACTTTTTTTGTAATACCTTATAATATCCTTCCAAGAAATATGAGTTTTGGGGACTGTAGGAATGTTAATCTGGGTATTCCATTGCTGGAACCTGTCACAACCCCATAAATTTACTGCAATATTAGCTACATATGGCCTCAGCCTTCCTTTCTGTCCTTCTGGCCTTATGCGTTCAATCCATCTCTTGCTTTTTTTTCACTTGAAATAGGGTTACAATTCCTAGGAATTGAACATCTGCCTCTTGAAAAGGCCAGTACAGATGTCAAGATTCTAGAATAGTGATAATCATGTCCACACCTGTGTCTAGTAATCCCTCCATTACAATGTGATTTATATGCACTCTTAGCTTTGGTCTTTGATTATTTATCTAAGTCTTCCAAAATATACATTTCATACTGAAATTTTTGATTTGTCCTCCATGTCTATTCCATCATTCAAAACAGTATGGTTATTTTATAATAGGCATTGGATTTTGTTTTTAATTTTCCTGGTGAGACATGTTCTCCACAGTGACTGGGAATGACTGGACCATGTTTGACATGGGGCCTGTGAGAGGCCCCCCAAGGAGTTTCCTGATGTCATCACATTAATTTGTCTATCTTTTGTTGATCTACATTCATTGTTCCAATGTCAGCCTTTGCCACAAATCCTATATATTTCAGAAGGTTGAGACCACCTATTCTTGCCATTCTCAGAGAAGCCATTATGGTATTTTGTGCTAGATGGCTTCTCAGAGGATATTACCAGATAGGCAGCTAAAACTCTGGATAAGTCATCCTAAACTCTGACATGTACTGATGAGGCTAAATCCTGTCCTTGTACCTTCTCTTCTTACTCATCAGTTTTGATAATTACCTCAATCTTTTCAAATCTTTTTACCACTGTTTTTTGTAAAGTCTGAATCTCCTGTCCAGTGTTCCACTCTAATGCCCTCACTGATGATTATAAGTATGAAATTTGTCCAGTAAAGATAACATCTCATCCTTGGACATAATTTTGATGGCATGCATATTACCTTCCTGGAGAAATACCTAATCCATTAATATGTCAAAACTTTTCAATGAATTCTGATTGTTAAATTCAACAGCATGAATTCTTTCAGATAATGTCTCGGCACCCTTCAACAATGATTGAATTTTGACTGTCAAATTAATGTTATTCTTTTCAATAGTATTAATTTTTTCAACTAGTTGTTCATTATTACTCTATAAAGACTGTATCATTTTTTTATTTTTAAAAGTACCTCATTCTTGGCTCTGTTATCAAACCGTTTTCTTAACAATATAATATGAAAAAGGAAACTAATTTTCAAAATCAAATAAATGGATGTACAAGGAGAATCACATAAGCCTTGCAGAATACCATACATAGGGTAAGCAAAATGGGTATTAAATTACTGAATAGTAATATTTTCAGCAATCTTATAGCTTTCAGATTTATCAGTTCACTTACCTTCCTTAGGCAATTTCAGTGAATTAGAGTAGGTGTGATAATCTTTTATGCCCAGCACATGATGCAGTTACAGCCTCCTGGTGGAGGGATGTGGAGATCTTTTGCTCTCGTTCGCTTTGGTTCTGCACTTGTCATCACCAACTTAGAAACTGATAAATATGTTTTGTTTAACAAATTAAGAGCAGTTATTAAAAACAATCAAAGTGTGTTGTAGGTTGGTAAAAGTTGAAAAGAGTCAAATTGAGTCTTTTCATGTTGACTGTTTCTTACAGTTATACAAACCTAATACTTTCTGTCAGGGGACTCAATGTCACTCTCCAAGTAAAAATGAATAAATAAGCACGTTATTTTGAATGTAATAAAAGATATTTTATTTTATTTGTAATGACTTCATTTTTATTAATATGTATTGTGTAAGTCCATGTTTATGCATGCTACATGTATGTAGGAGCCACTGAAGATCAGAAAAAGTCACCAGATCTTCTAGAGCTTGAGTTATAGCCAGTTGTGAATTCTCTAATGTGGATGCTGGGAAGTAAACTCTGATCCTCTAAAAGAGCAGCAAGGGCCCTTAGCCACGGAATTATCTTTCTAGCCCTACATTGTGAGCTTTTATGGGGCATTTTTTTAATCAAATATTTAGTCATACTTACTTTCATGTGTAAGCAGAATCTGAACAAAATTTTGCAAGCAGTAGGGATTTAAGGAGTCCATATGAATAATAATGAATTATTTGTCACCTTTGCTAGATTTAATAATATAATGATCCATAGGTATGACGTTCAAGATGGCTCCCATAAGTTAAATTACTGTAAATGATCATGTCACTTTGAATGCTTTATTGAAATACGTGTCTTTGTGATTCTTATTGTCTGCTTTCATGATCCCAGAATTAGCTACACTCTGCACCAAAAGATTTCCTTTGCTTTATGCATGGGAGGTTTTTGTAAAAGATGTTTTTCTTGCTAGATGATGCTGATAGGATGGACATGGCTGCCTCAAAGCACTGGTAGAGGAATAGTCAGGCTACCCTGGTGCTTATGAGCAGGAGTGCCTTTTATTTTCCTTCCCTTCCCTAGTATTAATTAGCATTGGTGATTCAGGCTGGCTACATTTTTCATCCAAGTTTTTCTTTCAAGTTACTAATCAATAACTCGTTAATGAAGCCAGAAAAGGAGAACGAAGCATTCTTAAATGTCCACTCCCACTTCCAGAAACAAACAAACAAGCCTGGAGCTTCACAGAAGAAATCATTCAGCTGGCAAAATTGTGTGGTTGCTAGGAGGGAGGGCATTTGATTTAATGAGGAGGTTTGCAAGACCTTTACGTATTCAATCCCACACATAGTATATCAAATGCTGCCTTAAGTAGTATTAATATTTACATCATGATTTTCAAATTCATCTTCATGAAATGTCACATGATGAAGTCTTAATAAAACGCTTCTGAAGCATCGTTCATCCTAAGAGCCATTTATTCAACTTTCTTTGGATTGAGTTCTTTAAATGAATATTGCACTTTGGACTATCAAAGGGAGCAGAGCCATGCAGGATGCTGATCTTTACTATTCATGCAGATACTAGAGAAGGTCATTTCTACTTCTATGCCAGACATTTCAAAAATAAAGCCAAAAAAAAAAATGAGGTCTCAGTGTATAGTTCAGAGCAGTAACCACTAGGTGGCAGAAGCGCTCCTTCCGCCAACTCGGCTTCGCCTGGTGTGGGCTGTAATTAGGTCAGTGTAAGTTAAAGTAGGGCTGAGAGAGGAATAAAGTAGATTTTCTCCTCTGGAACACACTGCAGTTTAATTTCACTTCTTTCTACAATGTGTGATGAAGGTGGACTTAACTTTTAAAGGCAAAGAGACAAACCACTGCCAGGATAAATGAAAAGACGCAGAGGGGGCAGCTGGCACCACACAGGCAAGGAAATGCTTTCTGGCTGTTTCCTAATTTTCATATCCGGGTCATCTTCAGAAATCATTTTCAGAGGTAAGGTGATGAATGTTTTATGTAAGAAAGAGGTGACTTCCGAAACAAGGGGTGGGCTTGCTGGTTGCTTTTGAAAATTAATTCCCTTTATCCATGCAATAAAGCTATTTTATCCTTGATTTTTTTATTTATTTGTGTTTTCTTTTTTTATTTTCCCTAATTTTGGCAGCAGCCAGAAACACATTAATCTGAGGGAAAGCTCCACACACCCACACAGACTTCCCTTTCCTGCTGAGTGAGCCAAGGAGGAGGAAGTGTCACTGAAGGCGAAAGTTGAAACCTTCTGTTCTGCAGTCTTGGAGGCTCTGAGAAGGGCAGAAAAGCCTTGACACAGGGATCCAGCTCTAGTGTTAAAAATGCAGCTGGCCAACATGAGAGGCCTTCCTCTGCAAAAGCATCAGGGGCACTGAAGTCACTTACGTGAAGGATAGTAGGAAATGAGGACAGTCACAAGAAAAATCTACCCGTTACCAGGTTGCTGATTATGGCATTAAATGTCCAAGATTTTTTGTTGTTGTTGCTTGTTTGTATTTGTTTACTTGTTTGTTTTGTTTTGTTTTTCCTTAAGCAAATAGGAGCAAATAAGATTTAATTTAGATTTACTCTAAGTAGAAACATTTCCTGATTTTAAATTCTCTAGAGTTTGAGAGTATCTAACTGAATTCAATGTTGTTTCTTTAAATTACAGATCATGCCACAGGTAATGCCAAACGCAGCGAGAGGAAGGACAGCTGTTAGGATGATGATGATGATAATGATAATGATAATAATAATAATAATAATAATAACAATAATAATAATAATGTATAAACTATTGTGATTCTGAGAGAGAAGACCAGCTAAGCACAAAGAGGTGTTTCAAACAGGCTAAGATTCCTCCAAATCATTTCTAGGTTTTCAAATATACTAGGAGCTGAGTGTCTTGCATAGGTCTCCACCATTGCCCAGTTGATAATGTCTGGGTTACCCCCAAATTTCTTCCACCTTTTTATCATTACCTCATGTTTGTTCAGGCTGCTTTCCATCTGTAGCCACATATGACACAATGGCAGAATCTCTGTGCTATTCTGTGTTCATGTTTGCATCCAAAATCACAATGACATTAAATCCACATGCAAGCATGACATATGACTGAATTCTGTGTACTGTAAGTGATGTCTTCTGTACGTCTCAATATTGTAAAAAAAAAAGAAAAGAAAAAAGAAAAAATGAACAAAGACTGACAGAGACTAGACTAAGAAACAAGTGATTAAAAAAATCTAAGAAAACATCTTGAACTCCTGTTTTAAAGGTGTAACCTTTAAATTAATCTGTAGCCCCCCTTTCTAATTATCCTAACAATTTGATTTGCTGATAGACAGTAGATACATATGAGACAGGTCCTGTACTGTTGAAGACATTAGAAGCAGAAGGCAGTCAACAAATTATAATTTACAAAAGCCACTAGACTGATCTCTGAAATTCATACCTCAGAGATCAGATACAGTCTTAATCTGAAATATCATTGCCAGTTAATCAGAAGTTGATGAACAAAAATGGAGTATAACTGATGGAGTATACATAGACAACCTTAATTTTAATGTTTTATTAGAAACCATTATTTCTTTGAGAAACATTTCATCTCCACTTTTTCATTTGTTTGTTTTACAAAGAAATGGCAAATAGAATTCAAGGAAATAAATACTTTGGTCATTGTGAAGTGCATAATGCATTCATTGCTTTTGAAATTATAAGCATATTTTAACCAAGTCAGTAATGTAGAGCTAGAAATGCATGGACTATCCTTGAAAGTATGATATACAAGAGTGGGTGACTTTTTAAGAGAGTAAGGTAGAGGTAGTCTTTGCTGGACCCCTGGAAGCTTGTTCTCAGTTTTCTTTGATTGTTATTAGATGGAATCCTTGTTTCTTTCCGTCTCCATTTTTAATGTGTGTGTCTTATGCCTTCCATTGTTGTTTCTAGTTGTAGTTTGTTCATGGCTAACCCTGAATTTCACGTTATCGAGCGATTCTGGCTGTACTTTCACATATAGAAAGATTCTGAAGGGCATACTGGGTAACAACTGTATATTTCACATTTTTAATACACACAGAGAAAGTGCAAATTGGATTCATAGGCTACCATCTTCAATAGTGTTTTATAAGCACCATAATTGATCCTTACCCTTGTTATCTTTTTCACTTTTAACTATTCTGTCTTTATAGAAATACAAACAGACCGGTTAGGTGTTTAAGATAATACAGATGGTAGAGTAAGTTAGTTAGTTCAAAATAGCTTACTTGTTTTCTTTCAAAGAACTGGTCAACTTTGTTTTGTCTGATCACATACTGTCTAAAAAAGAGTGTTAGCTTTTTATCTTAAATAACTGTAAAACTGAAATTTTCAAAGGAAGTGAATGGCCTTGTGTTCTAGTATGCTTTCCAGTTGGTTTGAAAAGTCATCTGACTAAAATCAAATTGGGGTAAGAATGAATTTTTTTCATTCATATTTCCAGGCCAAAATGTATTATCGAGGGACAAAGAACAAGAGCTCAAACAGTAATTCAAGTGGAGACGTTCAATGAATGCTGCTTACTGTTGTGCTCACTGGTTTATGGTCAGTTAGTTTGCTTCTACAGACTAGTCCTACCTGAAAGGGGATGCTGCCAATCACAACAGGATAAGCCCTCCCATATCAGTCATTCAACACATTTGGCCACAGACAAAAGAGGCCTAGGAACTGAGAGTTCTTTAGATGACTCTAGACTATGTAAATTTGACAGCTAAAGTCAACTAGGACTACTTAGTTTTTTAAAAAAAAATATGTGAACATCAAATAAATAATAAATTTCCTTTGCTATCCAGTCAGAAATGACAATAAAGCAGGTTAGAAGATAAAATTTAAAAATAAAGTTCATTATGTCTCTACAACTCATTCTAACTAAATTGAATACAGAGAAAGAAGTGAGTCTCAAAGAACAAGAAACAATTTTTGTTCTATGAGACTCACTTGAATTCCTTTTATTCCTATGTTATATATTCATAAACAGAGGTAAGGGGTGCATAAGACTGAAATGTCTATGGGTCAAACAATATATATTCAATATATGTATTGATTTTCTACATAGAACTAGCACATAATGTGTGTGCTAACCAATACACACCAACATGGCAGATATAAAGCTGTGAGATTTAATTCTAGTTCTTTTTGTAGTTCTTTTGGTAGAACTGAGGTTTCCATGATGGAGCAGGCTATTTCTTTGTTTGAAAACATATTCGGCATAGTTTTTCAAAGGTCTTCCATGTGACCACTAGTGTCTCCTGGCAAGAAAATATTAAGTAGACAGTGGCAACATTCATCACCACTATCAGAGTCTTGTTCACGATTTCGTGACATAACACTTCATGGTGGGCAGGAAAAATCACCAGGAAGACACATGTGTCTATCTGGAGTGAAGGGCAAAGCCCAGGTGTGACTTATTTATCCCTCTGTCACCTGTACCAACATACTTTGACTCACAGAAGACATTCAAAGACAGTAAAAGAAAAATGCTTAGAGCACTATTAAAAAAGACTTTTAAAAAGACACCTTTAGAATTTGTACTCTTTTTCATGAGGAATGATGACCTTAACCTCAATGATCATAGAACATTTATTCTAATTTCTTGAGAAACCACAATGGAAATTTACATGCTATGATAGAAATATTCCATTTATTTCTTATTGTGATCAGAATTTTATGTGATGAATATTTTACATATTCCTACATACAATTTTGCCATATATAAAGTCATTAAACCAGCCCTGGAGTAATTTGGTGCTGAATTACATTAGTTATAAATGACATAAATTACATATTTTCTCTTTTAAAGCCTAAGTAGTTGATAAATAACATTTAGGTTATTATACTATAAATAGTTAGAGTAAACATAAAATAGATATGTGGATATCCTAAGAAGAAATTATTTTAGATGAAATATTTATATACACATATATGAAGAAAATTTGACATTTTTATAAAGACTCTTTGTCTATCTACGTTGCTCCATTGCATATTATACAGAGACAAACACAATATTTAAATAATTAATTAAGTCTTAAGTATCCTATGTGCCTTAATATAAAATTTAGCAAGAATTTATTGTCTTATATTCAAAGCACAGTGTTGGCCATATAAGCCCATGATTTACTCAGATCATATTACTGTGAATAATTTGGAATGCTCCTGAAACAATTGTCATCTTAGATATCTAAAGTCTATATATTCCTGTGTCTCCTATAAGAAATTTGAGTATAACATCTAACTCTTCAAAATATTTAAATATGACAACAAGTACTTTTTATTCAGTTAGTTCATATTCATTAAAGATTGAACCTTACACTGAAGACTCACAGATAGAGAATGAGCACATAGACAGCTGGGCTTCAAAGCTATGGAGAAAGGTATTATTCTTTTATAGCAAAGAATTCAATCAAGTTTCAAGTACTAGGAGGTATTTTATTAGCCCTTATAGGCTTAATCAAGGAGTCAATGTCAAGTGCTAAATGTAGGACATAGTAATTTAGTCTTTTCCTTATTGCTGTGTCTCAACTCACCATTTAAAATCATCTTAATATTAATACTTTCTAAAATTAGATTAATAAAAGCATTTAAAAGTGAATCAGCACACTTCAAATCTTCAAAATAAATGAGTGTGTAGACAATTTTTGTACTTTTTGCCCATATTTGATTGCAATTTCTATCTGGAACCAGAATTTCTCATTGCTGAGTAAGCACATTAATGAAAATTATATGTAACTAAAATTATAAAGGCTTTTAATTGACAACAGTCATTCCCCAACTTATTACCCTTTAAATGGTGTGTGTTTGTGAAGAAGGTGAAAGTGTGAATTTAAAGCCTCTTCTTGAGGAACCATGTCAGTAGTTTTAGGATTAGCAACCCTCTTCTTAAAAGGCAAAGAACACTTTCTGCTTTCATTATTCATTGCCTTTCATCTAATTACTTAGGATTTTCATAAATA